CACCCATTTCCCGGCTGTTGTGTGTAATGGCTATTAATGGCTTACAGTTGTCCCCAGGTCCAGATACCCCTGTGCCCTCAACTGCACAGAAGCCTCCTCACCTGGGAGGTTACTCTACCTTCCCACCTTCATCCCCAGCAGCCTACAGCAGTGACTGACTATATTAGTCCGCTCAGGCCATCATACCATAGACTTAAACAACATTCATTCATTCATTAGTGTTTGCAGTTCTGGAGCCTGGGATGTCCAAGATCCAGGTACCAGCAGCTTCAATTCCTGGTAAGGATTCACTTTCTGGCTTGCAGACGGCCACCTTCTTGCTGTATCCTTCCTTTGGTGGAGACAGAATGATCTCTCTCTTGCTCTTCCTCTTCTTAGAAATCCATGAATCTCACCATGAGGGCCCCACCCTCATGACCTCATCTAACCCTAATTACCATCCAAAGGTACTATAAGTCTAAATACCATCACATTGGGGGTGGGGCTTAAAGATACAAATTTAGGGGAGACATAAGTCATCCCATATCACTGATTGACCTGGAGCATGACAGGCCAGTCCCCTTGCCCCAATGTGGGACTGACTCTGTGATACAGTGCTTGGTACAGAATTCCACCAGTTACCAGGCTGAAGAAGCCTTCCAAGGAGATCACATGCTCTCTGAGCTTTTTCTCTGCCCGAGGAAGGAAGCAAGCTTCCTTCGCTTCTCTTTTCCCACAAGCAGCCCAATAAATCACTGGATCAAGAATCTCCATCTTGGCTCTATTTTTACAGAACTCGGCCACAGCACCAGGGCTCTTTTCTATCATCAATCAATCAATAATCCCATGCTGAGTACAGACTGTGCCCAGCATGGTGTATGGGCAGTCAAAGGGCATTGTGACATGGGGCAATAGGCCTGGTGCTCACCCCTGCTCTATATGTGACACTGGTCAAGGAGTTCAGCCTCGCTGAGACTTCGTTTTCCCTTTCTTATGTGGCAACAACACGCCCTTCTTTATACAGTCCAGTATCAAAGCACTTGGAAGAGCACAAAGTGCTATTAAACTTCTTTATAGGTTTGTCTGTTCTGAACATCCCAAAGAAATGAAATCCTACAATATGTGACCTTCTATGCCTGACTTCTTTTACTTAACATATTGTTTTCAAGGTTTATCCATGCTGTAGCATGTATCAGTACTTTCTTTTTTTTTTTTAACAGAGTCTCATTCTGTTGCCTAGACTGAAATGCAGTGGTGCAATCTCAGCTCACTGCAGCTGCTGCCTCCCAGGTTCAAGAGATTCTCATCCCTCAGCCTTCCAAGTAGCTGGGATTACAGGCACCCAACACCATGTCTGGCTAATTTTTGTATTTTTAATTGAGATGGGGTTTCACCATGTTGGCCAGCTGGTCTTGAACTACTGACCTCAAGTGATCGGCCTGCCTCGGCCTCCCAAAGTGCTGGGATTACAGGCGTGAGCCACCGTGCCTGGCCAGTACTTCATTTTTTTGTGGCAGAATAATATTGCATTCTATAGACATACCATGATTTGTTCATCCATTCGTCAGCTGATTGACATTTGGGTTGTTTCCACTTTTTAGCTATTATGAATACTGCTGCTATGAACGTTTTTGTTCAGGTTTCTGTAAATATATGTTTTCCATTCTCGTGGATGTGTATTTAGATGCGGAATCGCTGGATCCTATGATAACTCTGTCTAACCCTCTCCTTTGTGTTGCCATGGCTCCTTTATCATATATTAAAAACTTTATTTGTGTGGATCTTTTAAAAAATACTGGTAGCTATTTAATTCATGTGATGAGAGCCCTGAGCATGTAGATATTAAGCCCCTAAATTTAAGGGGGCCCCAACTTCTGCCCCTCCCTCACCCTTCATTATGAGTTGAACTGTGTCCCCCCAAAAGATATGTCAAATTCTAACCCCAATACCTGTGAATGTGATCTTATTTGGACTCAGGGATTTTGCAGGTGTAATCAAGTTAGGATGAGTTCACACCAGACAAGGGTGAGCCCTAATCCAGTGACTGCTGTCGTAATAAGAAGAGGAACTTAGGACACAGAGTTACACTGTGAAGAGTGCCTGGGATGATGGAGGCAGAGACTGAAGGGAGGCACCTCCAAGCCAAAGAGCACCAAGGGCTGCCAGCAACCACTGGCAGCTGGGACAGAGCCATGGAACAGACCTCTCAGAGCCCCCCAGATGGGCTGGCCTCAGAACTGAGAAAATAAACATCTGGATTTTGTTTGTTTGTTTCTCAATACAGCCAGGGTCTCTCTATATTGGCCAGGCTGGTCTTGAACTCCTAGCCTAAAGCCATCATCCTGCCTTGGCCTCCCAAAGTGCTGGGATTACAGGTGTGAGGTCTTGTTTTTGCTTTTGTTTTTTGGGACAGAGTCTCGCTCTGTCACCCAGGCTGGAGAACAGTGATGCAATCTCAGCTCACTGCAACCTCCGCCTCCCGGGCTCAAGTGATCCTCCTGCCTCAGCCTCCTGAGTAGCTGGGATTACAGGCATGCACCACCACACCTGGCTAACTTTTTGTATTTTTAGTAGAGATGGGGTTTTGCCATGTTGCCCAGGCTGGTCTCCTGAGTTCAAGTGATCCATCCACGTTGGTCTTCCAAAGTGCTGGAATTATAGGTGTGAGCCACTGTGCCTGGCCTTTGCTTTTTCTTTTTCTTTCTTTCTTTCTTTTGTGTGTGTGTGTGTGTGTGTGTGTGTGTGTGTGTGTGTGTGTGTGTCTTGTCTTAAGCCATCCAGTTTGTGGTATTTTGTTATGGCAGCCATAGCAAATGGATATACCTCCTCCTATAGGTGTGCACTGAGAATCAGGGGCTTGTGATCCAGGCTCTCAAATGTCACAGCATATCTATGATTCAGGGGGAAGACTTTGACTTTGAACTGGAAGAAACATTGTACTGTACCACATCAGAACAAAGACTCCCTAAGGAATGCCTGTAAGAGGTACCCTAACCAAAACACAAAAGGAATAAACATGGTGGGGACATAGAGAAACTAAACTAAGCTAAAAAAGTAACCTAGTGTATAGCACTTTTGAGTCAAACTGACCTGGGTGAGGAAGTGTGTTTTCTGATGGGTAGAATGATAATAACTTACCTCATTTGAGTTGCTAAAAAAAATGTAAATCAGATACTGTCTGAAAGTGCTTTTCACAATGATTAACACATTTAAAAAACTCGATACATGTTAGCTATTGTTTTATTACTATTGTGAATGGTGTGAGCTCTTGGAGTATAACTCCTCTGAGCCTTGGCTGCTTTGTTCATAAAGCAAGAATAATAGAAGGTCGGGCTCAGTGGCTCACAGCTGTAATCCCAGCACCTTGGGAGGCCGAGGCGGGTGGATCACTTGAGGTCAGGAGTTATAGACCAGCCTGGTCAACATGGTGAAACCCCATTTCTACTAAAAATACAAATGTTAGTCAGACGTGGTGGTACGTGCCTGTAATCTCAGCTACTCAGCAGGCTGAGGCAGGAGAATCACTTGAACCCAGGAGGTAGAGGTTGCAGTGAGCTGAGATCGTGCCACTGCACTCCAGCCTGGGTGACAGATGAAGACTCCGTCTCAAAGAAGAATAATACAGATTTTGCAATGTTGTGAAGATTGAAAGAGATAACACATAAGGTTTAGAGCCCTGCACATCCTATGCGGTCCATAAATGTGGGCTGCCTGCAGTCACACTTTGGAATGAGTGTAGTTTCCAGTGAGTGACACCAGAGGGAAGCAGAGTCTTATTTTTGTCTCTCCAGCGTCAGGAACCTTAGACAATCATGGGGAAAACTGGCTTTTCTTGAATCTGAAACTGCGGGATTTCCCCTGGGAACCCCAAGCATCCCACTGGGAGGCGGGCAACCACTTGGAGGAAAACCTAATACAGTTTCTAAAATCTCACTGTGCTTCACAAAATCTCAAGTCTAAAAGAATTATATTGTCCAGGGATAAGTATTTTTCAGCTTTTACACGGTTTATGCAAAGCCCCTCCCCAACCCAGGGCTCAGCACATCAGAGCTACTGAACCATTCTGAGGCCTCAGAAACAGATTAATTTTTCAAAACCAATCTCTTCTATCATCATTTTTCTGAGTTACCAACTCATAAACCCTTGTTCATATTCATTAGATACATAAAGTCCGCAGGAGTTTGTCACCAGCCTTCAAGAAAAAATTCCTGCAATGTTTTAGCTCCACTCCCAGCCGGCTCCATGCTGCTTTTACTGGGACTTACGGCTGACTATTCCTCAAGCCAGGGCAACTGAGTTCCAATTTTGCTTGAACTTTCCACATCAGAGCCAAGTATGTCTCTAATGTTCGGCTACATGAGTGACAGCCCCCGCCCCCAGCCCCTCCTCTCACTGCATCTCCCGGAAGACTCTATCATCCTGTTTTCTAATTATCATGAAATATTTTAGACATGCAGAAAGTATAGAGAATAATATACCACAGACCAGCATAGCCACCGTCAGGTTCAAGAAAGAAATATTTCAAATATGTGGAAAGACCTTGAACTGCACCCCCTAACCCGCCTCCTTCCCAAAATATTATATTCTCCAAAGTTGGTGTTTATCATCAAGACTCCATTTTTCTTACTGGACAAGTTTGAGGAAGAAGTGAACTTCCCTTCTCTGCTATCTGTGTAAAGAAAATGCGACTACCCACTCCAAAAAATGACTGTAAAAAACAGTGGGAAATGAGAAGGGGAGAAGGCAAGCGGAGGATCCTGTGGAAGTCAAGAAATCCAAGGAACTCGGACGTCTCTCTGAACCCAATTCAGCCCGGGTGCTGATGAACATAACTTTGAGGGTGTACAGTTTCTAAGGACCCCCTTGTTGCAGGGAGGGGCTTTCGTGGGCAGGTAGCGGGGAGAAGCAGTGCCACACCCCCTCCCCACTCCGTGGACTGCCCCGCCCCTCCATCAGCCTCCCCTCCTCAATCACATGGGTCAAACAAGGTCAGGAACGACTGGAGCCCCAGGGCCACATACCGAGGACAATGAGGACGTCTCTGTCGATGTGGGCCTGGATGTAGATGCGGCCGCGGCGCTCCGTGTGGTCCGTGCCGCACAGGCTGGGGACGTTCATCACGCAGCGCTTGTGCACGTTCATCATACAGGCTGTGAGGGCAGAGAGAGGGGATTCAGCTTAGGCTGGCTCAGGCTGGGGGCTGCAGACATCTGCCCCACCCTGGACCTCCGAGCCCTGCCTGTTGCCTTCCTTTGAGTCAGCTGAGACCTACGAGACTGGCCGAGACCAGCTTGCCTGCCAGGATCTCATCAGGAGGGCTTCTCCAGCTCTCCCCACTGAACCCTGATGGACAACGGAGGGGGATTTGTCTGTTCCCCACCCAAGGCCAAGGGTACAGCCTGAAGCAAGCACACCCCACACCCCTAGAGGCTCTGAAGCCAGAGTCACCAACTTCAATGCTCACGGGCTGGCTGGTCACATGAGTGAGGAAAGCTACAACAGTGGCGGGGACTTGGCCAAGCAGGGAACAGATCAGCAACATTTCCCATTTCTCAACATAAGCAGGAATCTCGATGTGTATGTTAACATCTCTTGATTTTTAAATACTGACAGCTAATAGGTTGGGTTCCCTGGAAAGAGTCTGAGATGCGGAGTTTTGAGCACAAGGTTTTTGGGGAGTGTTCTCGAGGGGAGAAGTTGGCCTGCCATGTGGATGCCACCAAAGCTGATGGTAAGCAAAGCCCAGAGCTGAGATGACCCTTCAGAGTTGTTCCAAACTGAGACAAGAGGGCCAGGTACCCCAATCATCCAGGGGCCCTGGAAGGGGCATTACCTTGGGCAATTATGCAGGACGGGGCACTGCTGTGAACCCTCAGCTAGGGGATGGGGTGGGACCCTGAGGAGGGGGTCGGGGCTGACCGTAGTGTTCACCACAATTAACTACAAGGAAAAAAAGTTAGAGCCTAGTATGTGCCTGCAAGCTGAATTTGGCCTGTTGCCAAATAGATATTTATTCCCACTGTGCACTCCTCCGTAGAGTATCTGTGTCTATTTCAATGTGGTGGTGACTTCCTGAGCATATAGGTCCTGAGCAATAATGCCCTGCTCCAGAAAAGTATGCCAGGGAGCTAGGATTCTCCAGGGGGACACCAGTTCCAGTTGGAGAAGCCAGAAGGAGAGGCCGAGTCACCCCATGGGCCCCAATTTCAAGGGATCTGGGGGCAGGGGACCCTTCTCAGGCCATCCAAGTCCAAGGAGGCAGCAGGTCTGTCATAAAAACCGTAAATGAGTGGTGGGGAGGAAAGGGAGAGCCCTCTGGGACTCAAGCAGTAGCCTAAGCTCCCACCCACTGCTGTCTTTGAGGTAGGGGCATTGTCCCTACATCAGGGCCCCACGTGTGGTAAGAGGAGCTGCTGTCCTACAGGCGGAAGGCCACAGCCTCACTGTCCCGCTGTGGCTCTTGCCATGTCTCTGTGTCTGTCTGTCTCTGTCCCCATGTTGCTGTGTGTCTCTTGCCCCTGCTCTCCCACTTCTACGTGTGTCTCACTGCTGTGGCCGCATCTGTGAATCAGTGTGTTCCACTCTCCACACTTGTCTCTGGCCTCTTTGTCTCCCCGCTTCTCCCGCTGTGTCTCTCTGCCTCTCTCCTCTGTGTCTCTCCGTGACTCTCCATGTGTGCTTCTGTCTCTGTCTCTGGTCTGTCCATCTCTACACCTCCACATGAGGCTGTGTGATGGCATCACTCTCTCTGTGCCCATGCCAACCATTTTGTCTTCTCTTCTTCTTTGAGACAGAGTCTCACTTTGCCTCCCAGGCTGGAGTGCAGTGGCACAATCTCAGCTCACTGCAACCTCCACCTCCCGGGTTCAAACTACTGCCTCAGCCTCTCAAGTAGCTGGGATTACAGGCATGTGCCACCGTGTCTGGCTAATTTTGGTATTTTAGTAAAGACGGGGTTTCACCATGTCGGCCAGACTCGTCTCAAAATCCTGCCCTCAGATGATGAGCCTGCCTCAGCCTCCCAAAGTGCTGGGGTTACAGGAGTGAACCACCACACCTGGCTTTGTCTATTGGTCTGTCTGTCTTCCTGACCCTCCTTCCTCCTCCAGCACAAACTTGTGGGTATTGCAGGGACACCCTGCAGATCTTCTCCATGCAAACAATGCATCAACCCCACATCTCAATGCTAAAAACAGTGGTGGTGGTGCCTGGCTGCAGAAGTGACCACAATTTGTTCATGCCTCTGGGTGTCAACAGCCATGGACTGTCCTTTCCCACACTGTGACCGTGCCTCTCACATGCCACTTGCTTTGACCAGTGGATCAGGAGCAAACAGACACAAGTAGAGACTTGAAGTGTCTGCCAATGGGACTTGCCCTCCTGAGGAATTCAGGACCCTGTGACTTCCATGCATGCAAACCCAGGCTAGCCTACTGAGGAGTGAAGACACATGGCCTGGTCATCCCCATCACCCAGATGACAGCCAGCCTTCCTGCTGAACATGTGGGTGAGGCCACCAAGGCCCAGACAGCTCCCAGCCCACCTCCATCTGCTAATCCACCATGAAGCACGAGTTCGTGCTTTATGAACATGCATGACATCGGCTGAGACAAGCCCACATTCAAAGGGCTGCCTTGCAGAGTCATGAGCTAAACAAATGTTTACTGTCTTAAGCCGCAGTGTTTTGGGGTGGGAGGATCGTTATGCAACAACAGATGACTGGTACACCAGCCCCAGCTAAAATAGGGAGACTGTATGGCAGACCTGGACCCCAAACCAAGAGGAAGCAGCCCTTCCTGTTGCTTCTGCCATTAGCAGATGCCCCCAGAGAGAAAAAGTACTTACTGTCACATTTCATCCCCTGGTGGATGAGTCCATACAGCAGCGACCCACAATGGTCACAAAACGTGGGGCTGGAGTACGTGTGGATCTTAAACTTGTGTTTGCTCCGGGGATCCTGGAGCCAAAAGAAACAACAGAAGGAGCTGGTATCAGTGGAGCATGCAAGGCTTTGCCCTACGTCAAGAGGCACTGGAGACGTCACCAAAAACTGAACTTGGTCCCCAGATGTCATCGTACCGGTGGGGACCATCACTGGAGCCCTGTGCCCAGATGTGGTGCTAGATAAATAGTTGTGGAAGGGAGGAAGGACAATGACAGCTGATTGTTCCACGGCAGTCCCATGCACACACGCCCTGCCTGCAAACCCTCCATCTGGGCCTGCCTGGGAACCCAACCTACAGGCTCCTGCCTGTAGCAGGGACTCCAGAGATGGGAAAACAAAGCGACAGACACATCATCTAAACAGGCCTCCTGACTTTTCTTTCTCCCAAGCTTTATTCTCCAAGCATGCTTCTGCACTGATCAAAAACCCAAGTCTGGGCATGAAACCTCCCTGCTTAGAGACCACTGTCAGTCCCTCATCTCCGACAAATTTCAAAGCCCAGTGGACAGTCTGCAAGCTGTGGCAGAGACTGCTGGTTTTCCACTAATATCCATTATTCCCTTTAGTAGCAGAACCCTTGAGTTTTAGCAGAGAGCATGGCAATCCAGATAGAGGCCACGTTTCCCAGCATCTCTTGCAGCTTGGTGCGGCTACAGGCCTGAGTTCTGGCCAACGGGATGTGTGCACTCCAGGACCATTCCCTTCAAATGGAAATGCGTACATCTTTGCGCCTTTCCCTCTTCCCACTGGCTAGAAGATGGTGAGAACTGGAAGTGACTGCCCTGGACCCAAACCTGGAGCCACATGTGGAAAGGACAAAGCTACCCTACCAGCCTTGAATTTTTTGTCCCTTTGGGCTGATGCCTGAGAGAAAACCTAATTTCTGCCTTGTTTAAGTCACTACATTTTGGGAGCTATTTCTCACAGAAGCTTACATAATTGCCTAGTCAATAAATATGCCCTTCATAGCCTGGTAGTGCAGTGCAGTGGTAAAAGGTAGACTTGGATAAACTTCCTGGGCTCTAAGCTGTGTGATTTTGAGCAAATTATTTGATGGTTTTTTGTTTCCTTTTATTTTTTTAAGACACAGGGTCTTGCTCTGTCACCCAGGCTGGAGTGCAGCAGCACAATTACATTTCACTGGAGCCTCGACTTCCTGGGCTCAAGTGATTCTCCTGCCTCAGCTTCCTGAGTAGCTAGGACTACAGATGCATGCAACCATGCCCAGCTAATTTTTTTTTTTTTTTTTGAGATAGAATTTTGCTCATGTCCCTCAAGCTGGTGTGCAGTGGCCCTATCTCGGCTCACTGCAATCTCTGCCTCCTGGGTTCAAGTGATTCTCCTGTCTCAGCCTCCTGAGTAGCTAGGACTACAGGTGTGTGCCACCACACCCAACTAATTTTTTGTATTTTTAATAAAGATGGGGTTTCACCATGTTGGCCAGGTTGATCTAAAACTTCTGACCTCAGGTGATCCATCCTCTCTGGCCTCCCAAAGTGCTGGGATTACAGACATGAGCCACCATACACAGCTCCCCCAGCTAAGTTTTTATTTTATTATACATATATATTGGTAGAGAGGGGATCTCATTATGTTGCCCAAGCTGGTCTTAAATTCCTGGCCTGAAATAAGCATCCTGCCTTAGCCTCCCAAATTGCTGGGACTGCAGGTGCACACTACCATGCTCTACTAATTTGATCTTTTTGTGCTTCAGTTTCCCTATCTGTAAAATGCTGATAGTGCTAGTGGTCTCCTTATAAGACTATTGAAAAGCATAAGTGAATGAACTTGTGTGGAGATCTTAGAACCACCTGGCGCATAGCAAGCAGTATAAGCTTTTGCATGATTCTTATTACTACTTGGCCAAGGTGATCCCCAGCTAAGCCCCCTCCTCCCACCCACCCACATGCACATGTACCACATACATTCTCAGCACTTTGAGCTCACTCTCACTCCCAAACACGCCGTGCCCTTTGTAAGCCTTTGGCTCTGCATTTCTCTTTCTTCTTCAAGAGATTCTTTCCTCACAGAATCAGTTTTAGTTCAAGAGAACTCTTTCTATAAAAGTTGCTTTCTCTGTTGGACATTGTGGGCCAAGTACAGTGTCTCACACCTGTAACTCCAGCACTTTGAGAGGCCAAGGTGGGAGGATCGCTTGAGTCCAGGAGTTCAAGATCAGCCTGGGCAACACAGTTAGATCCCATTTCTACAAAAATAAAAAATTAGCCAGATGTGGTGGCACAACCTAAGTCCCAGCTACTTGGGAGGTTGGGATGGGAAGGTCACTTGAGTCCAAGAATTGAAGGCTACAATGAGCTATGACTGCATCGCTGTACTCCAGCCTGAGCAAGAGAGCAAGACCCTCTCTCTCTTAAGAAGAAGAAAAAAAAAAAGACATGGCAGAAGTTAATAACATGGGCCTTAGGTTCCGACCCAGGGCTGCTCTGATATCCTAGCCTTTGGTACATGCCACCTGTTTCTTCATTCATTCATCCATTCATATGTTTTTCCTGATGCTGCCACGGATGCCTCCTTTAAAATTGCATTCTATTAACAGTGACAGAAAATGAACATGCAAGCAAGGAAGCAGGCACACGACACAGACATTCTTTTTTATGTGCTACTAATGTGATGAGTGTTTCTCCTAGGAAAATTTTTCTTTTCAAAATTCGAAAATAATTCCATACTGTATTAGTCTGCTTTCATACTGCTATAAAGAACTGCCCAAGATTCAATAATTTATAAAGGAAAGAGATTTAATGGATGAACAGTTCAGCATGGCTGAGGAGGCCTCAAGAAACTTAAAATCATGGTGTAGTGTGAATGAAAATTAAGGCACTTCTTCACAAGGCAGCAAGTGCCGAGTGAAGGGGGACAAGCCCCTTAGAAAACCATCAGATCGAGTGAGGACTCACTCATTATCAGAGAACAGCGTGCAGGAAACTGCTCCCAGGATTCAATTGCCTCCACCTGGTCTCTCCCTTGACATGTATGGATTTTGTTTTGTATTGTTCTGTTTTGTTTTGTTGAGACAGGGTCTTGTTCTGTCACCCATGCAATGGTGCGATCATAGCTCACTGCAACCTCCGCCTCCCAGGTTAAGCAATCCTTTCACCTCAGCCTCTTGAGTGAAGGGGCTTAAGGCACATGACAGCATGCCTGGCTAGTTTTTATTTTTTGTAGAGACAGGGTTTTTGCTACGTTGCCCAGGCTGGTCTCAAACTTCTGGGCTCAAGTGATCCACCTGCCTCAGCCTCGCAAAGTACTAGGATTACAGGTGTGAACCACCATGCCCAGCCTCAACATATTGCTTGAAGGCTGCATGTGTATGCTGGCTGTCTCATGTGTACTCTCTCCAATCTTCATGACATGACATGCAGACGGTATCATTGTTCCCATTTTGTCAACAATGAAACAGACCCTAACAACAGAGTAACTTCACCAAGGCCACTCAGCCGAACGCTTGCAGAGACGGGGTTCACACCAAGTTTCTCTCCCCTCTCTCACTCCATTGACACCTCACCTTCATGTGCAGCTAAGATGGAGCTTTACTCATTCATTCATTCACCTAGCAAATATGTGCTGAGGGCCAAGTTCTTCCTAGCCATTGAGGATACAGCTGTGAACAAAAGAGATTCTGCTCTCATGGAACTTGCATTGTAAATCCTCACCATCATAGCACTTAAACCACTGAATTGTAAATGCATGCTTCACTGCATCTCTTGCATACTTCACTGCATGCAATGTGAGGAAATCTGGCTATTATATTATACCCTCATGGTATAAACACTATTATACCCTCATGGTATAAACTGTACTTGGCATATAGAAGATGATCAAATAAACACTTAATAAGTGAGAGCTAACATTTATTGAACATTTACTCATGCCAGGAACTATTTTAAGGGATGTATCAGGCATTAGTACATTTGATCCTCATAACAGCCCTATAAAGCACATACTATTTACTACCCCCATTTTACAGATGAGGAAACCAAAGGCCTGAGAGACAGACTGCTTTTCCCAGGGCAAGCAGAGCATTGCACCCAGTGGTCAATGGGTTGTTGTGACAGCTGTAGGGCTGCGATCACTGCTGTTGGCCGCCGCAAAGCCCTGCACCATACATGTGCTATTTTAGGAAAATGACTTAGAAGGGGCTATGCAGCACAGATTAGAGCCAGTTGAGAGACAGAAAAACTAATTGGCAAGTTACAGGGAAATGTTGACTTGTCGTGGTTTATCTAGAGGCTGTTGGGGGGCTCCTCTGACCTCATTCTCCTATCTCCACTTTCATGAGGAATCATGAGGCACCAACTCTACCCACCCACTGCTGCAATCTCTCAGACCAGACAAACCAGGTCGTCCTCAATGGATTCTTCCCTCCTCCTTCCTGCTACCCGAGAGAGCTTAAAATGAAGCCACACTCCTATACCTGTGGTCCTCCTGACTCCCTCCACAACCCTCAAGGTGCATCTTTCAGGGTGCCTATCCATGCCTACCCGGGTCCAATGCCATCTCTGAGACGGGCACCTCCCAACAGCCATGCTTGTACTTTGAGACGTCCACATTCCCTAAACACAGCTGACCGGGGCCGAGGTGGACTCTTGGCTCGAGGGTCACATATGCTGAGTGGCTGGGACGCAGGTAAGCAGTCCTGAGGCCAGCAGACATGCAGTTCCAGGGCTGAGAGTGCTAATTTTATTTTTGATTGACAAACCATAATTGTATGCATTTATGGGATACATTGTGATTGTTCTGATTGTTCTGAATATACACACACAATGTGGCATGATTAAATCAAGAAAATTAACATATCCATCACCTAATTTGCCTATCATTTTTTTTTGGCATGAGACGTTTGAAATTTACTCTCTTAATTACTTTGAACTATACATTATTATTGACTAATGTCACCCTGCTGTGCAATACATCTCAAAGGCAAGTCCTCCTGCCTATCTGAAATGTTGTACTCTTTGATCAGCAACTCCCCATTTCCTTCCTACCTCTGCCTC